GTACATGTGTGTACATGTGTGTACATGTGTGTACATGTGTGTACATGTGTGTACATGTGTGTACATGTGTATGTGTGCAGTGTGACTGTGCGTACATCCAGCCAGCTGTCCATGAGTGTGTGGGTCTCAGCTTCAAAGGTTGTGTTGCTGCAGTCGGGGAACTTGCTGAGCTCTGAGTGCAGCTGTTTGCAGACCCCCCTCATGTCCTCCATCTGCTCACTGAGACCCCCCAGCTCCTTCTTCACGTCACACACCTGCACACAAAGCCTGTGTGAGTGAGAGCAGAGGTCAGGTGTGTGGACAGGTGTGTGTTGGACTCACCTTCATCATGGTTCTCTGCAGGTTGTCTTTGCCCACATAAGAAGCGGTCTCAGTGAGGGTCTGCTCAGCTCTCTGCAGCACGCTGCTCAGGTGACCACGGCACGTCTGAAACTTCTTCAGAAGGTCCAAAACAACCCTGCACTGCTTCCGTCTGCAGAGGACAAGAAACAACTCAGATGTGTTCAGACCTGTGAGTCCTCACATCAGAACCTCCATGAGAACCAGCAGGTGGAGAAGCTGTTCTGAACTGACCCGTTTAAAAACACTAACCTGTCAAAGAAAACTCTCTGAGACTCCTCCCACTGGCTCTCCAGGTCTTGAAGGAGGTTCTCTCCTCCTCCTTGTGCTTCTTGCAGTTCTCGGAGGCTCTGAAGCTCAGACTGTTGATCCTGCAGCTGGACCTCCAGGTCTGACAGAGAGCGAAGCCTGAACAAACGAGAAGATGAGGATTTGATGAGATAAGCTCAGGATAACGTGTCTTTCTCTCCTGTTGACTGAGGATGTTGAAGATGTGTGGACGGTTGGATTAATGATCACCGGACTTCTAATGACGGGCAGTGGTGGATATCTGGGCTCTGGTGAAACTAGGACCGTGCTGGCAGCTGTTTGGGTCCTGTGGAGACTGCCGGCTCTGTGTGATGGGTATACTGGGCTGTCAACACTCAGAAAGCACTGGTGGAGATGAACCACAGGCTGGATGGGATCCTCACTGGGGGGTCGCAGGCCAGCTGTGCCTCCTGAACCTGCTGGTGGGAATGTGTAGACCCTGGACAAGTTGTGCTCAGTGGGGCGAGGAATACCGATTGGACCTTTTGGTTCTGGTGAGACTTTAAGGCACATGTGTGTCAGCCTGTTCCCAGAACAACAGGGATTATCAGAACCCCCCCCCCCCCCCCGGCGGCTGCGCACCGTACCCCCCCCCCCCCCCCGGCAGGGTGGGCGTATAAATATGGGGCCTTGAAGGCTGGGTATCAAACTCTCCTGGATGTGTCAACTGATGCTCCGCCCCCACCATCCCTCCTCCCACTGCAGTCTGAACTGGTCGTGTGGAAACAAGCTGAAGACACACACATGGACACATCATCATTATTCTGGGACTATGGCTGGCTGGGGGGGGGGGGGGGGCTGTTTGGAGACTGGTTACACACAGTTTTATTAACTGTGTGTAACCAGTTAATAACACATCTGTGAACAGATGTGCTTACAGCACTTCACGCCTCCTAAACTCACCGCTCATCTCCCTGTGTTTCTCTCTCCTACCCCCCCCACCCCCCCCTCTACCCCCCACCACACACTGACCTTTGCTCTGCAGGAGTTTTAGGTTTTTCATATTGATGTTCTTTCTTAGTTGTTTTTCTCTTAAAGGTTGCTCCTCCTCACGATGTCCTTCCTGATTGWTGCTCTGTGGGGGTCTATGGCTGCAGGACCCCCAGCACCTGTTCTATGTTTGTTTATGTTCTGTCTCTCTCCTGGTTGGCTGTTCTGAACTGTATGTTTGTTGTGTTTTGTACAATAATAATAAAGGTTTATTCAACTCAACTGAAGACACGTACATGTGCTGCACAGCAGGGATGGTGGGCTCTCTCAGATTCTGGTTTTCAATCGTTTCTTGGAGCCTCTTCAGCTCCCCCAGCACGGTTCTCTTCCTCAGACCCAGAGACCTGGACTGAGTCTCCTTCAGGAGGCCTCTCTGCTGGTTGACCAGTCCTCTGTCAGCGTTCTCCAGCCTCCTCAGCAGGACCGTCACCATGTCCAGACAGGAGGCCGGGGCTCCGTCCCTGGTGATGGTGAGCCGGGCCCCCTGCAGGAGCAGGTCCAGCTGAGGGGCCTTGTCTTTCAGACTGTCGATGCTCTGTCTGATCAGTGCCAGCTTGGTCCGACAGTCCTGCAGAACCACGGAGTCGCTGCAGGGACCAGCTTGGACTCCGGACACGTCCTCCTCCACAGTGCGCAGGGACATGAGGAAACGGTCGAGGGCGCGAGCGGCTGCCTCGCTCTTCCGGACCTGCTGGCGGAGCTGGTCCAGACTGGATCTGTGGGTCTCCACCTCTCGAGTCAGAGGGAAGAATTCTCTGGGGTCAAGGATGCTGGACTCAGGGTCCAGTCGGGACAGCTGGTCCAGCTCACTTTGAATGTTGTCATCCAGTTCCTTTCATGAGAAAAGAGGAAAGTTTAGATCAGTTTATTTGATTCTTTTAAACAGAAATCTATTAAATAAACTGTTTTTCTGATAAATTCTCTTCATTAAAGATTTCCACCACTCAGAAAACAACGTCTCCTTGTCTTAAATCATTAAGTGCAATTAAATAATAAATATGCCTGAATTTTCCCCTCAGTGGGACAATAAAGGCTATTTCTATTCTACTCTATTCTATTCTATTCTATTCTATTCTATTCTATTCTATTCTATTCTATTCTATTCTATTCTATTCTATTC